TTGGAACTAGATGATTTTTAAGGTCCCTTCCAACCCAAACCATTCTGTGATTCATATTTGTCCTGTACTTTGTCCAAAACTATAGACATTTATTTTCATTGACTGGATAACCTGTGTTTGTATGTTCATTCATTTCTATATAAATCAGATTTTATTCAATTAAAAACCCCCTTTCTTCTCCATAGTCAAACATTTCAGTTACTGGCCTAAGTCTATTTTTTTGCCATTAAGAGTATGAAGAAAATCTTGCTTTAATGGAAGTTCATCCTATTCAGAAGCTGTGGGAATGCAATGCTTAATTTTTCTGACTCTTATCATGACTGTAGTTAATGCAGAATGCAATGGAAACTAAGCTGTCTTCCAGCCCTCCCTTGACTAATCAGGATGCTCAAATGACTTATAAGAGACTGTACTAATATATTAGTGCTTTTATATGATCTCTGCAGTAATAGCAAGTTTCAAGCAAATTGCCTCCTCCGAGCTGCTGTTATTTAATGCAACAAAGGCAAATCTGAGTCATTTTTACTGGAAGGGAAGGCAGAATTCTTTTTCTTGACTGAAGTAAATTGATCTATGGAAAAATACTTCATTTGCTCAGATTTACATTTCTCTAAAAAGTAAATGTCAGTGTTTTTTTCACTTCTTTTCATTTATGGGGATAGGGGAAGTAGAAATCGTAATACTACATTAATGTTTTGTATTTTACAGGAGAAATTTTCCCAAATTGACATCTTGATTCTCATGACTGCAGCAGTGTGTCATGACTTGGACCATCCGGGCTATAACAATACGTAAGTCTGTCTCTTGCTTTCTCTTCCCTTAAAATTTGTTGTGAAGGTAATACCAGCTGGCGTTTTTGGTAGATCAGCCTTTCCTTCTCAGAGCTTGAGCCGGCCACAACCTTCCCCCAAGGCCCTGCCGTTCATCTATATGTGGGCCAAGGCAAAGCTTCATGCAGAAAACTCAGGTCTGGGTTGGGGTTGCCAGTTGTCCTTGGCTCTGTAAGGAAAATGTTTTTTCAGATTTCTATTCCAACACTTTCCCCTACTCCTGAGAAAATAAGGTGAAATGTTTTACAGCTGAGAGAGAGGACATAAATGACTGATAGAGTCCTCCATAGAGGACTCCATTGACTGATAAAATGCAAAGGGTGATTTAACTTACACATTATTTCATAATTATAAATCATGAAGTGCGTATTATTCTATTTATTACCATGTGAGGAAATTAGAATTGTTGATCCATGGACATTTTTGTGTGCATGCATGTGTGTGTGAAAAAGAAAGAGAATCTAATTTCTTTGTAGCCATTCATTAAAAAAGGGCAGAACCCAATTCTGACTGGGATCAGTGAGAATCTCTCTGTTGATGTTAGCTGGGGTTGAATGAAGCCCAGGTAGTTCCTTCTGTGTGTGTTCTATGTCATTTTAAGCTACAGAGACTAGGTAAAACAAAAACAAAAACAAAAACAAACAAACAAACAAACAAACAAAAACACAAAACAAAACAAAAAAAAACCCACAAAGAAACACACCAACCCAACAGACGGGGAAATAGTGCCTGAGATGATATTAAAGTAATATCTACCTTCTTTAAAAATCTGACTTGGTATTAACAATCGAAAAACAAACTGCAGCTAATTGAATAAGTATTGAAAAGAATGTAAATAAAAGTAAGCAGTATGGTTTAGAGCAGCTGGTATGTGTCTGCAGGAGTTCTCATTGCTTTTCTCCACATCAGCTATCAGATAAATGCGCGAACTGAGCTTGCAGTACGCTACAATGACATCTCCCCACTGGAGAACCACCACTGTGCTGTGGCTTTCCAGATCATTTCCCAGCCAGAATACAACATTTTCTCCAACGTCGACCAGGATCAATTCAAACAGATAAGACAGGTATGAATGCTGCTCCCACGTGTGTCGTACAATCTGTTCCTGAAGATGTAACCATGCACAGACTTCCCTGCTGTACAATGTGAGTGAATCATTCTCCCTGGAGGGTAGGACTGAAAAAGCCCCTCACACTGGAAGGATCTGAGAGGGATTCTTGGAAAATTTCCACAGCAGCACTCCCTGGAATGTCTTGCTGAGAAATAATGACTACATCCTGACTATTAAAGCCTATGACATTTTGGGGGTAGATATTTATATTATCGAAGGAGCCAGTTAGCTCTAACTGGGAAAGGATTAAGCTCTCACAGCAGAAGTTTATGCTTTAAGAGAACATTGCATTAATTTTAAGAGGGGCTTCAAAACAGGAAAAGATTTACAACAGCAGAGCACTTGTACTGTTGGAAGAGACTCTGGTGGGCTGGAAGTCATCATAGTTATCTCTGAGACAGTGAACAATGCTACAATTCCCATTAGAGCACTAAGGGCCAAAAGTCGGTCTTAGTTTCCACGTTACACCTTCCTTACACATCAAATGAAAAAGCAGAGCAAAATAAGGGCTCGGATACTGGTCTGGTCGGAGTTACTGATTCTGTCAGTGCATGGGAAGCAGGCATGGGCACAAAATGGATAGACATGTATGAAAACCCACAACTTTAAATTAACCACATGTTTTCCCATCATAAACTCTGTCTAGCAGGAGGATACAGAGCTCCTAACACATCAGCTGCATCTGGATATTTCAAAGCCCTTAATCCAGGGAGGATGACCATAGAGGACATCCACATCTACTGATCTTAGTCTCTTCCTAGGGCCATGAAGAGGCAGCAGCAAAACTTACAGGGCTTTCCAAGGAGCCAGAAGTGGATCTTAGTAAAAAAAGTGTGACTTTTAACATCTTGTTGTACAGTTTGTTTTTCCATAATTAGTCAATCAGAAAGGAAAAACCTCAATGCCTCTGGAATATCACACCAGTGTTACAGATCGATCCAACTATGATCTTCATATACCGTGTACTCTTTACAACCCTCTTCCAGTTTGCTCGGCAGTTTCAAGTCAGAAGCTTCCCCTTTCAGTGTTAACAATGTAAAGCATCTGAGGCTTTTTTGTGTGTAAGAAAGAATCTACTTTGTGCTGTAATAGTAGACTTTGTAAAGAATGTCAAGTTAATATGTGAACATGTTTTCTTTGCTAGGGAATAATTACATTAATCCTGGCTACAGACATGGCGAGACATGCAGAAATACTGGACTCTTTCAAGGAAAAAATGGAAAATTTTGATTACTCAAATGAAGAACACATGACCTGTGTAAGGAGGTTTTGTAGATTATTTTTCTGTGCATAGTGCATAATTCAATATACGTTATCAAAAATGAATCCTTCCTACATCCTCTGCCCCACCAAAAAGAATTAAAATTGGAAGTGCTCTATATAAAATAGATTATTCCAGCTTTAAAGCTCCTGCAGTCTCATCAAGAAAAAGTACATATATTTACTGTCAGGACACAAATTCTGCTTGTCCATTTCTGTGGACAAAAAGCATCCACAGGAGTACAAACTCTAGTCTCCTCTGTGACCTAATCCAGTCATCTTTGACATCCAGGGAAGCCTCTCCCCAGCTGCCTCTGAGTGCTCCACAAACAACTTCATGGTCATTTGTGGCTGAATCTCTTCATGCAGCAGATAAGTGCATGTCCCACTGTGACACATCCCAGTGCTACAGACAGGGAAACTGAGGCAGAGACGGGATAAGTGGTTTACAAAGAGTAACTGAGAGAGTGGGAAAGAATCCAGATCATTTAAGACTTCTGATTTAATCCTAAAACTGTCCTTTCTGTTTGAAGACATTGCCTCCCACTGCATTGTAAAAATACAGGTTCTGGATAGGGGAAAAAAGAGCTGGCATTAAGACTGCAGTATTAAAGAATTATCCTCTTTCAGCTGAAGATGATACTGATAAAATGCTGTGATATCTCCAATGAAGTCCGCCCGATGGAAGTAGCAGAGCCCTGGGTAGATTGCTTGCTAGAGGAATATTTTATGCAGGTAAGAATGAAGGAGAGATGCAATTGCACAAACTGCTGCTCTTCCTGAATCCCACCTCAGCTACAGGTGCTCTGCTGTCTGACAGGCCAGTCTAGCTCCAGAATGGAAAGGTTTCTTTTATAGAAAGCTGGAGAAGGATGTCAGCAAAAGAAGCTGTTCAGAAAGCAAGTGAAGGCAATTAACTGCAATTTGCAGATGAAAGACAATAGCGACCTAGAAATCCTAACACTAGCAGACTGAAGCTTGTTCTCTGGAAAGCAGCTGCCTTGCAAGCTCGTTTGACATATAAATATTTTTTGAGCCAAAAGCGCAAGAGCAGAGGCAAGAGAAAGTTTTCAAGCAAATTATATCAAATATCACATGGGAACTAGTTTAGATAATTTTCGCTGCATGTGAACATTCCCCTAAAAAGAAAGCAGAAGAGTTGCTGAGATGTGCAAAGCCAGACTTTAAGCTCCACAAACCATTGCTCCTCATCAGATGCTCAGCTGAACGCAGTTTTTGATTGCTTAAAAAAGGATCCCTGGAAGAGCAACCCTCATCTGCCTCCGGCACACAGGCTCCCAAGTGGTGTGTGTCAAGTGACACAGAGCTGCAGTGCTCAGAGGAGATGCCAGAGCTTTCTTGTGTGTTTTGTCTGGACTTTGATAAGGGTGCATGCCAAGGAGGGCTTCTCACAAGAGACAGACATCTTGCATGATGTGTCAGAAACACTTCTAGCTCACTGCATCTGCAGCTTTTTCTTCAAAATTACAGTATCTGTGTGCCTTAATGCTTTGGCCATCCAGCAAAAGCACTACGTGCTAAAGACCCAATAATTGAGAATGTCTTTTTTGCACTCACTGTCTGTGTCCTCCTTACACATGAACTCACACAGAAACAGTGAGTTCTGTGGTCAAGTAGGTAGCTTGGAAAACTCATTATAGTCAGTGGAGCTATTCTCCATTGACCTAGCCAGAACTAGTTTTAATCTTTAGTAGAGAAGGTTATGTAATTTCTGGTTGAATACCTGAAAATGATCACTCTCTGTAGAATCATGAGGAAATCAAAAACCTATGCCTTGTCTTCCAGAGCAGCAGGAGCCATTATCACCTTTCTGAATGCTCAGAAATGTTTTACCTCATAAGTCCCATGGCTTTGCAAAGGGAAGTAGGTGGCCTCAGTGCCCTGTAAGCCTGGAGGTGAACACTTTAATGACAGTGCTATGCAGAAGTAACTGAACAGAGTTCTCTTTATTCAGATGCTTGCTCTCAACAAAGCAGGATACATTGGCCTAAGGGAAATGTACTGCTATTCTGTGCTAGCTTCAGACACCACTGAGATCTGTATCTGAAGGCTACTGCTCTTTAGCTAGTGATCTGCTTGGTACATCACTCTTCTCCCAGGCTTCTAGCCAATATTAATATTTGTTAACTCTGAATATGTTCCAGAGCGACCGAGAAAAATCTGAGGGGCTTCCAGTGGCACCATTCATGGACCGTGATAAAGTGACCAAGCCAACAGCACAGATTGGCTTCCTGAAGTTCGTTCTCATCCCCATGTTCGAAACAGTAACAAAGGTAAGTCACCCAAGGCCAGAAGCAGAAGTGGGGGCGTGCAAAGTTTCAGCATTTGCTCTGACAGGTGTTTAGTTAGCTGGGGAAATGGGCATGTACAGTTCATGTCCTGTCTTTCACCCCACTTCTAGCACGTACAAGTTAATGAATACAAAAGGAAATGTTGATTTTCTCTCTCTTGTTTTCACCTAGCTATTCCCAGAAGTGGAGGAGGTGATGCTCCAGCCCCTTTGGGAATCCAGGGACCGCTATGAGGAATTAAAACAGATAGATGATGCTATGAAAGAGGTAAGCTCTAAATATCTCTTTGATAAAGCAAACATGATGATTGAATAAGTTAAACATTATAATTTAATAACAGCTTAATTCTGAAACAGTAGGAATGCTTATGGCATAATCATAGTCAGGAGAAACACATTCATTACACCTGGCTGGAGAAAGATGTGTACCATGAGCAGCAAGTGTGTACAAGAGCATCCCCTTGGAGAGTTGACCAGGCACCACATGGGTACAGCTGTAGGAAGAGAACTGCTTGGAACAGAGGGACCTCAAGACAAACCCCAGAGATAAACGCCTGAAGGGAGTGTGTTAGCAAACACCTCTTCCGGGAGGGAGCTGCCTTTCCCAGGAGTTAGCCTGGGCTAGGTTGCAGCAAAACATCCTGTGGCTGGGCAGTTCAAGGCACTGCACCACCCATGCAGTTTATTTCCTGGGAAGAAACTCCCACTCACGTGTCTATCATCAAGGATGTGCTTGAAATTTTACAAGGAATTACTCTCTAACACACAGCATCCAGTAGGATTAAACACGCGACCAATGAAGCCATTTTATGGCCCAGGCTGAGTGGTCACCTCCCTTTACAGAGTGTCTCTCATTTTGACACGTAAGTCTTAGGGGAGTTAAGAGGTACATGTAACCACGTTTGCTCTCTCAGGAACCTGGCAGGGCAGAGACCGAGGCCAGGTGCTGGGAGCGGTTGTCCCGCGCCCGCAGCGCGGCAGCCGGTGTGCTGGCCCAGCTCCCACAGTGCCTGGCAGCCTCTGGCGTGAGGCCGGAACGCCTTCCCTGCACACTTCTTTGAGTGCTTCTTTTTCCTGCAGAGGCAGACAACAAAACCAGCCCAAACAGCATCACAGTGTAGGGGTTTTCTGACATGAACAAATTTATCGTGTAGACAGGATACTATCAGTCATTCTGTCATTAAAATAAATTGGGAAGTGCCCTGGAGCACTAGTTGTGCTGATATATTGTTTGATATATACGTGGGAAATGAAGGTTCGTTCACTTGATCATCCTTGGCAGGATGAGGCAAAGAGTAGCTTTCCGGTGTAGCTCCCATCTCCTCCCAGTTGCTTTGGAGGAAAAGCCCCTCAGCGGCACAAATACTAAGGCTGGTTAATCAAAGATCACATGCTTTGAGGGCACAAAGTTATAAAGTAGAAGAAAGTCTTCTAGGCATTCTTCAGTTTAGAGTGGAGCATTTCTCAAAGGAGTGAAGAAGAACTCAAATATGACTGCCAGACTTTCTGAGTCCTATTGATCTTTCAAGTCAAGCCAAGATTTTTCTTCTGGTTTACAGAAGCTGTCAAAACAGAAATTTTATAAAAACTGATGGAGCTTTAATTATGGTGTATTGGCACAAGAGGTCTTAGGAAAATTGGAGCTGCCGGCATTCAGAAATATTCTGGAACAAAAGGAGTTAGTTAATAATCCTTGAGCCTAGCACAGCAGATGACGAAAAACACCAAGTGCTGTTTACTAAGGACATACATCCAGAGCTGTTTGCATTAATTGATGCCTGTGATATACCACGCTGCTGCCTATTATTTCCCAAGAAATGTCACACATGCCTTGTGGAGAGATGAGCGTTTGACTCACAGCAGCAGTGGAAAGCAGCACTGTGTGGGTCAGGGATATTAATCCTGCTTTGCTCTTCATTTCAGTTGCAGAAAAAGAAAAGTGAAAGTTTGACCACCAGCAGTACCGAAAAGTGAGATGAAAGAGACATTGAGTAAAACATAAGCCCTAAGGTTATTTTGTTTTTGAGAAATACTGTATTTGCCAAACAGACATGGTGGCTATGTCAAAATCCAACTGGGACCACGTGCGTGGAGAGGTGGCAGGCACGGATGCCCTGCCTGCCTGTCTGCCTGCCTGGGCACCTTCCCTACAGCCTGCAGCCTGCTCGCACAGGTGCTGCCGCCGCCAGGCACCAAGGGCTCCCCCGGCTCCGGCATGCCCACCGCAGCTTCCCCGACAGGACTTCCCCTGCGGACATTGCACAGGTCGAAGCATGGCTCAGATCTTCAGCAGATTTACCTTTTTGGTGACCACACTGACCACAGTATGTAGAGACAAAACGAGTTTAGCTAAGGAGCCTTTTCTGGAAAATGACCCACTGACATCCAAAAAGAAAAGAAGCAGCTGTTTTAGTCAAGATACTATATATATGTGTACAGCAGTATGCTAATTACAGCATAGATTAACAGATGCTTATATTCTGACAGGGGTCCTGGCATATATTTTTGTTTGCCTAGTAGGCCCTAAAGACACATTTCTCTGTATTATTCTCTGAATTTTATAGTATTCACAGTACATTCAGAAGCCCAGCATAGTGGATGCATTTTTTTGTTGTTTTCTACACTAGAAGAAATCAGAAGAAACCTTAGTGAGTTTGCACATTCACTTTGTGGTCCAGTACAGCTAGAAGTGATGGGATCCTTCAGCACAAGCAAAGAAGGGAGCACAAATCTGAAACCACTGTGCAAGCCTATTTTTATTCTCGTGGATGCAAAAAGCAACAAGAAAAACCTTCAAAGATGTACAGGGTTTTTTTACTTTTAAACTGATCCGCTAAATAATATATTCTTCTACAGAAATGAGTGTTGTACTTGTTTTCTTTTGCGTATGCATTCAGGTGAGAACTGTCTCTGTTCATAAAGATAAATGCTTTCATAATGAATACAAGGTAAGGGGCTGTAAAGGAGAAGGCCAGGTCACTTCTCCTTAAGAGGAGAAGCTTCAGAAACATTTTTTGTGGCATACTTGCATCATAAGCACAATACCAAAAGAGCTTCACTTCCCTTGATGACATTGTAAATGCTGGGAGCCAAGCTCTGCCTGGAGTTGCCGTTGCGCAGACAGCAGGCAACACTGTGGTCGACTCCTGTGCACCACCTTGCCAAAGGGGAGGCCAGAAGAAACCCCGCTTCCTCGTGCCCATGAGAGGCAAACCACAGCTGTGCTGCTCACCCACTCCTGATTTGTCCCACTGGGGAAAGGTCGCCCTCCCTGAGGGTTTCAGCAGGCAGGATCAGTTCCTACCGCGGCACGGCTGCTAATACCAGTGATTTGCGTGCACGCTGGCTTGCTGGCATCAGGCATGCAGCCAGCGAAGCATCATGCATGTTGCTCCAGTCCTCCTTGGCTCAGTTCCTGAGGCTGCCCCATCAACTTTGCCAGGTGTGTTAGCGATAAGGGTAACACCAGTGCTATGCCTCTGCAAAGTCTAAAGCCACCTGTGTTGTCTCAGCTTGTTTTTCAAAAAGAGATGAGCAGGTGGGAGCTAATCTTTCACCCTGTGACCCAGGAAACACCTTAGGAAGCTCAGCCTCTTTGGCAGGTGTCTAATACCAACCTCACCTCTGAACAGGTAACCCAGCCTCCTGCTCTGGAAATTCAGATTTATTCTCCTGTTGTTTCTGCACGTTAATTCTGAGCTTAACTCTTGTTTCTGCACCAGTGCCATTTCCCATGTTTGGTCTCTTTTGCACAAACTGTATTACTCCAGCTACTCTTCAGTCTCTCAGGGAGATCAATATTACCTTTAAACATCCATCCCTCTACCTTATTCCTGCTTACACATTTCAAGAGACCCAGGACAGACTCACAGCTAGTTCTCTCTGCTGGTGCCTCTTTCTGCCCAAGCTGCCTTCTCCTTTAAACAGATTTTTGCGTGTGTGGTTTTGGGCTTTCTGCTTCAAACTGGAAAACGGTCTAATCCCTGGATTTGAACACTCCTGGGGGACCCCAATGGAGATGGGAAGATCCAAGCACAGGGTCAGCTCCAAGCTACGCAGACATCTTCATGAATGGATGAACTAGTTTTAATTAACCTCAAACTTTTGATGCCTGAAAGTTGGATCTGAATTATGTGGTTTGGGCCTTTTTTCTGTACTAAATCTTAGAACTCAAAGTACATTGTGACCCAGATTGTTTTGCTGTGGAATTCTTCACTTCTTTTTCACAAGTAAATCAAATTTACCATCTCCATTCAAGCAGATTTCCATCACAAATCAGCTCCCAAAGCAAATGTGCTGTTCAGGAGCTATAAACAATTGCTTAGAATATGCCAAGTCCTGCATTGAGCAAGTTACATTAGATGAAAAAACCTGCCATAGGAGCTTGACTGCACCCTCCTCCCACTAAAACTGTTTAAGAGTTAGGTACTGATAGGAAGTTTTCTTTCAGATGGAAGGATTTTCTCTGACCATGAACCCTAATCCAACAAGTATTTCTGCATGTGCGTAACTCCCACGAGCCTAGTCATGGACCCTGGCGTACAGTAGCTAATTGCATAGTGCAGGCTCCTTCGCTTTCTCTAATTGAAGTGCATGGAAGTTTGAGAATTAATGGCCCTTGGTGTTTGTTTTGGCTCCATCATTTTTAAGAGCAACCTGAAAACTGTTTACTGGAGGGAGATGATCAGAAGACATTGGTGAAATCCCACTGACTTTATTGGAGCTGCATCAAAAATGTGGAGAAGGGAATGCAACCCTTCCTCAGGGATGCACTAGTGACTGTCACGATGCTGTAACGTGCTGTGCGGCTTATTGAAAGAACAAGCAACATCCAGGCTGCTATTCACAGATAGCTGTAAAAAAAGACCACATGCAATCACAACCAGCTATCGGTATAAATGGGAATACCACAGCATTTTTAAATCTCATTTGCCTTTGTAATACTAGATTTCTAAGAGACAATCCTCCCAACATAGGTTTAACCAAGGGGAACACAAGACATTCTCTCATAATTGTAGTTTCTTATACTTTTTCCATAATATTTGATGCTGTGATTCATATGCAAATTAACATATTTGAGAATCTTGGCAATCAGCCCATTAAAATGTCACACATTTTCAGGATGACATTTTAAAACCACACTTAGCATGAAAATGAAGTTTTTTGGTGCAGCCAGACAGATGTGGTTTAATCTTTTCTCTCCCTAATCCAGTGAATAAGAGTGAATATTGCATCTCAGTGTTGTTGTTTCATCTTACAGCAGGTGCCTTACAAGGAACTTCCTATGATCCGTTGCATGCACCTCTTCAGCATCAAGACAGTGCCATGTGCATCCCAGCCTTACATTGCTACTCCTATACTTGTGATCAAAAATGAATGTGAAACAGGTTATAACTATTCCTCGCCATTTACCTTGGAAAACTAGCAGTGAGCCCTGGTATTTTACTTCTTAGTTTTTTAAAGCTATGAGATCCCACAGCCCCATACTCACTTCATTTTTTAGCATGGCTTTCATAATCAGATCAAACTAAGGCTATAGTATAACTGCATGTCTTGGGAAGGAAATAGCTTTTTAAAAAGGTGCATACCCCCATAGAAGGCAGCTTGCAATGAAAATTTAGTATGTGTTAAATACATGGGTTATGTAATGCCAGAGAACTATCTGTACATGGAAATTGTTAATCTCAGTGCTGCCTCTGAGCAGCAATAACAACAGCATCTGTTCCATATGGGAGCGCAGTGGGTGCAGAGTATGAACCCATCAGGAAAAGAACTGTCAAGTAATATTCAATTTTCCTGTTTAAACGGTGGGCTTTTACTGCAAACTGCCTCTTCTGCCCAGAAACATCTGAAGAAGTCTTACCTTTCTTGTCTGGTTAATCCTCATAGCATATTGTTCTGTTTTGTTGTGAGGGTTTCTGTGAAAAAGCAGAAACAGTGGGGCAAATCACCTACCCTACTAAGGTAAGAGTCTCTCCATATTTACCTCTTTCCCACACTATCATCTCCTTGATTCCCTGTGGCAAAGTGGGCTATAAAACACAGCAACATGCCTGTTAGTGACAAGGTACACTCAGCCCCAGCCTGCAGGAAGGATGTATGCGAAAGGAGGACCTGATGTAGAGCCATCCAGCTGCTGCTCTGACTCCCAATGTAAAGAAATGACTTTCCAAGAGGTTGCTCTGGAACCAGGCACATCCCAGGTCCAGGCTGTGGTCCAGAGGACAGAAGGCAGGTTCCTGCCCTTCTGAGCCACCCCTCTGTATGCACAATCCTCTGCCATGCAGCTCTCTTGTGATTAAGGCTGTTCAGTGCCCGCAAAGTGAAGTAAAGACTTTCTAAAATGTGTTTAAAACTGCTTAGATGCTGCTTTTCTAGGCAACGTTGGCAGTGCAGCGGGTAATCTCTCCTTTCTCTCAGCTTTCCAGGGCAGTGCCTAGGCAGAGGTAAAGTTTTTACTCTGAAAAATTGGGACATTGGAGTCCTGGTCTGTGTGTGGATGCTATGATAGAGCGAGAAACCAGTGAGTCTTAATAATGAACCTAGATCTGCCACTGGCTTCAAATATGCCCTCGAGCAAGTCACCAAGCCAGAGTTTCCCTCTCCTTCCAAACAGAGAGATCCACCTCTGTAGAGCATCTTGTGGTATTCAGATGTAAAATGCTCTTCACTGCAAGAACCAAGAGTTACTCTTTTCAGAAAATATGACTTCATGGTAACTTCTGGCCAAAAAACTTATTAGATAACCTTATAAATGAAGAAGCTGTAACCAACAAGTTAAATATCTCTTTCTTTGTGACAATGTCGTAGTAGATCTGGCTCTTTGCTAGCAAGAAGCCTTACTTCTCACTATCTCACACACATAGAAAAAGCTTCCTGACTATTTTGGCATGTAATCAGGAATTACAGGTGTACTCAGGCACATGCACATGCACAGAATGGCTATCAGTAGATATTTTTATAATACTATTCTTGGCTCTGTTGCAAGACATACTTAGAACCAGGACAGTTTGGAAAGTGTAAACTAGTCTTGTCACAGCCAACATTTGCTATCATGTCTGAGGAAAAATATCTCTGTTTTTCCAAACTGTGTGGAAGCAC